CCTATGTTTTGCCCCACGCCGTCAACAGCTGCATCGACTGGGCCGCGCTGTGGCCCCAGAGGCTACGACGCTTCTCTAATTGTTCATCTCGGCGCGCGCTCACTCATCGGATTTCTGTAATTAATAACTCGATAATTATCGTGAATATCGCAAAACAGAGGACTTTTATATTTGTCTGACTCGCTTTATATCTCCATGAACTCTGTAACAGTTGTTATGAGACACCTTGTATGTTGTAATAGGATGTGCGCGTGTGCGTGTGCGCGTGTGTGGTGTGTGTGTGTGTGCGTGCGTGTGTGTGTGTGTGTGTGCGTGCGCGCGCGCGCGCGCGCGCGTGTGTGTGTATGTAGGATGTTTGGTAGCTCATGTAGCCATAGCTAACGGAGACAAAGATCTGATTGAGGTAAAGGAAAAAGTCGTTTTACGATATTTGCGATAAATATCGAAGATATCCAATAAATATTGCAAGAGCATTGGAATCATTCAGGCCATAACGCGGTCCAGTGAATTAAACAATTGTTGTCGGCGCGGCGAGGAGAAAATGTTACTCATGTCATTTCACTATTTATACGTCTCGATCGATTAAACTGCGCTATGGCCCAAACAGCTATATGTCTCTTCTCTCTTAGTTCACGCTCATTCGTCAAATTTCTATAATTAATAATTCAATAGTTGTTACAATTATCACAAAATAGCATAGAATTTAATCCGCTCTATGTTTACACGAATTCCTAAAGGAGAATTATAAGACTCTGTATATAAAGTATTCCATTTTAACTTAGACATCGAAATATCTCAAAAACAATTCATTTTTGAAAAAAAAAATGTTTCAAAGAAAAGTTGTAGAGTTTGATGGTGACGATCAGATGAGCTACTTAGATTTTGGGCTTTATTGGATCTAAAATCTAATTCATCTAATCTAACTCTATAACTTTTATTTTTCGTCGAATATGCATTATATTCGAGATGTTTTAGTCTCCAAGTTAAAATAGGACGCCTTGTATATGTATACTCATCCGCAAAAAGAACGAGCCACTAAATTTTAGCACAGTTTTGTAATATCTTTCAATATCTTTCAATAGTGATAACTCATCGTATTGAGATGAAACAAAGCTCAAATTAAAGTTTGGACATTTCTTGTCAAGAATATTAAAGGTAGACTTTGATTAATGGGAAAAAAAGTTTGTCTTTTAACTGCTGCACTGTTCAGGGGAATCGGTTCTCTGGTACAAAAATATATGACGTTTAAAGTTCATTTGTTTCCTAACAAATCCATATTTTATCATTTTTCTATTATCTCTTTTGATAAAGTTATGCCGTTTTGAAAAAAAATATTACAAAGTGGACAACCTTTTCTTGTAAAGTCCGCGGTTCAGAATAAAAATTATCGTGAAAAACTTTTACAAAAAGGAAATTAACATGTAACTCGATCAGGATGTGTGCATGTGTGTGTTTAAGTTTAATAGTGCGTATTGCCTCCTCTCGTATTTAATAATTCTTCTGTTTGTTGGGGCATACTGTAAATCAAATTTCTGATATCTTCTTTTTCTACATTGTTCCATTCTTCTTGAAAAGCGTTGCGAAGTGGTACTAACGTTTGAGTATTATGTTTGCTTACATTTCGTTTCAACATGCTGTCCATAAATGCTCGATAGGATTCATATCCGGACTTATAACATTTTCTTCAAAACGGTATAACTTTATCAAAAAAGATCATAGAATAATGATTAAGATATGGATTTGTTGAGAAATAAATGAACTTTAAACGTCATATATTTTTATACCAAAGAACCGATTCCCCTGAACAGTGCAACAGTTAAAAGACAAATTTTTGTTCCCATTAATTGAATCTATCTTCCGCTATTTTATAAAATATTTATTACTGATTAATTTATTTTTAGGTTTCTGGTTGTTGACAAGAAATATCCTTAATTTACTTTAATTTGACAAGCCTTAATTTGAGTTTTGTTTCATCTCAATATGATAATTTTCGGCTGACAAGGAGATGTCAAGACATGTAAAATCGATAATTGAATGAGTCATATTTCATTCGAATGGGGGAATTGAGTACATAAAAACCCTAAAAGAGTTTGCGTACATGGGCCTTCGTTTGTGAGAAATTTGCAATTAAAAAAACAGCTATATGTTAAGTGTAACTTGGAATCAATAAGCGTGAAGCGCGGTAAGTGCGGAAGCTAAGGCGCGCGCTAGTATTTTGTCGTCTACGTCCGAGGAGTGTTCGAGTCCTCGCAGTGCCAACTTTTTTTTTATAATATTATGTATTACTATATTTTATAATATTTCTATAATATTTTAAATATTTTTATTATTTTTTATAGGACAAAAATATAATGCACACATATAAATAATATCTGTCTTATTATATAAAAAATAACAAGAGTGAACGTTTTAATTATTTATTATAAAATTCAGACATTGCCGTACATTTTCCTTTATATATTGCCTCGAACATGGGACACGAATAAAATCGTTCTCTCTTTTTTGCCTCTTCGTAAGAAAAGTTTCTATTGTTATAACAGGTATTCGTTTGCGCACATGCATACTATGATTTCAAGAAAGCGTTAGGGCTACGTGGACCTTTTTCTCGGTTAGTATTCTTTTGAATATTGCAGTAAGGAAGTCACCGTTATAGTGTGTGATCATATATGCTAACAATAAAAATGGAATCAAATGTGGATCCATCATTAATAGAACACATTTAAGTGTTAGCAAAATCTGATATATCAAAAAAAGATTTAACTGACAATATCGCATATTTTCGAGGTAAATATTTTGTATATTTTTGTAAACATTAAAAATACACAAAAGATATGACTTGCCCATAATAAATTTTTTCACTGATACGTTATTACAATTTAATTTGATTTATGCCGACCCACCCAAAAAATTGTTGTAAAGAAGTCGCTGGAAAATTATTTGAAACTTTTATTAAAATGTTGAGTAAATGTACAGTCCCTGACCAAATTAATAAGACGCACCTTATATTCTTTTATTTTTCTAATTAACTATGTTATTTATCCCAATTCTACTTGATTGAGGTAATTGAATTGTGAAAATAATGTTAGACAATTGTTTTTAGTATTCAATTACGCTTTTACCGACGTGTCACGTCACTAGCTATCAAATTTCGCTTTTATCTTTAAACAAGTCATGACACGCGCTAGTAGAACTGTCGCGCGCTCCAGGTACGGACGTGTTTGGAGACAATGTGGCTGAAGTTTTTAGTATTTACTTGTTTCTTTACTTCGAATTTGTTCTTTTTAAAGTAAAATAGGTGTTTTTAAACACAAATTATTGATTTTTACCTTTACAAATATGGGTAGAAAAAGTGACTTATCATCATCACAATTGTGTTTCATTTATGTCTGTAATCCCACAATGAGTTATCAAAATAAGTTCAAAACATTTTATTCAAAAATAACAACTTGGCGAAGCTCGTATAATTGATTTAGTGAAAAAAATCTATTAATGCATCTATTAATTTGGTCAGGGACTGTATATTGAGCGAAGAAATCGAATATTTTTTGCCAAGAGAAAAAGAAGAAAATGTCGAACAAGAAGCACAGGAAAAAGCCACGACATTAACATGTGAAGATGAATACGTATCACCTGCTAAAATAACTATTCGTGAGAGAGTGTCCTTTGATATGAAATTAAAAATTATTACGACTGCAAACGAACATACGCAATGGAGTTTCAAATATTTGCTAAAACGATTTATTCTTGTTATTTTTTACATAATAAGACAGATATTATTGTATATGTGTGCATTATATTTTTGTCCTATAAAAAATAATAAAAGTATTATATTCTATAATATTATTCTATACTATTAAAAATATTATAGAAATATTATAAAATATAGTAATACATAATATTATAAAAAAAAAGTTGGCACTGCGAGGACTCGAACACTCCTCGGACGTAAACGACAAAATACTAGCGCGCGCCTTAGCTTCCGCACTTACCGCGCTTCACGCTTATTGATTCCAAGTTACACTTAACATGTAGCTGTTTTTTTAATTGCAAATTTCTCACAAACGAAGGCCCATGCACGCAAACTCTTTTAGGGTTTTCACGTACTCAATCCCCCCATTCGAATGAAATATGACTCATTCAATTGTCGATTTTACATGTCTTGCCATCTCTTTGTGAGTTATCGGTATTGAAAGATGTTAGAAAACTGTGCTAAAACTTAGTGGCTCGTTCTTTGCGAGTGAGTGTATATATATATATATATAGGAGTGTATATATATAGGATGTCTAACATAAGACACGGAATTACCATATAAATATTAAAGCATATCATTCTGAATATAAGGACCCTTGTCATTTTGCAAACAACAACGTGAAATTTTAGATTATTCACAAAAGAAGATTAGCTAATCGGCATGTACAACGCTATGAGACGTGCTTTGTAAACACGAACTTACCGAAAATAGTTATATACATTTATAAAATGATAGGAGTTCTCGTACTCAGAATGACATGTTCTGACGTTCTATATGCTTATTACGTGTCTTGCGTCAGACACTCTGTATAATAGATACGTGTGTATATAAATTTTTGTATAAGTATATTTCTTGACACATGTAAATGTGAGGTTTCGAAATTTCACACAAGAAGATTATAAAACAAAAAATGAATTTATATAGTAACTAGAAGTTACCATATATTATGCCTTATACAGTTGTGCAATTTACATATAATTCTTTCACATATATAACATAGAACTTAGGATAGGAAAATGCCACTTACATTCTTTTATAAAATAAATGAAAGTGTAAAAAGCAGTATAAAATTACAATTAATTATACAATTACTTATGCTAAAATTATAAGAAATGGTACTAAAATTTATATTATACTAAAAACCATTTGATAATTCAAGTGTAATTAATTACAACACTGTGTGTGTGTGTGTGTTATGTATTCGTTTATCTTATAAGAATATGCAATATATGTAATAAGTTAACTCACCAATGAGCGCCAATGCGATCAGAATACACGAAAGCCGAATCATCGTATAGCAATTGCCGTCCTCTTTGCCTACTGTGCTTGGTAGACTTCAGCAAGTACAGTAACAAGTGATATACAGAATACAATTTATACACTCCTCGAAATATGTACACAGCTGATACTAATACGCAGCTATTCAATTGTTATCTTTGACGACATATCAATTTCAACTTTTAACATCAATCGCACTTGCGTAAACATAATGTACAACAGTGAGAACCATAGATGACTTCAAAATGATATTTGTCTTTTAATTTAATTAACATACGAAGAATATTGCGAGGATATTACATCATTATTGTGAGAAAAACTGTCTTCATGGAAAAGGTCATTCATAATAACCATAAGGAATAAAAATAAACTATTGACTTTTATGTTTTTAGCAGAATTTAATATAATAAGTAAATTTAGTAGGAAAAAAAGAAAGTGGTCACCTTAAATCGAGCATCTTAAATTTTTCACTTGTTTTCGATGTTAAGAAGAAATATTGAAAGAAAAAGTTGCATCTTCCGAAGCGACAATTATGATAACAGAAAAATTTTTCTTTCAAAGTCATTTTTTTTATTTAAAGATCAAGGTAATTTTTTTAAATAGAGCTACATGTTTTTGTTGATACGCTTTTATAGCTAAGATCGAAAGGAGTTTAAGGATCTAAGGCAATATGACCTTTAAATCATTTTGAATATAGAAAATTATGTATGTTTGAGGGAAATATAAAAATCAAACATTTATGTTTTCTAACACAAAAATTTTTTTTGGGAGGTGAAGATCGATAAATCTTTTTTCAACAGAACATTGTTTACTAATGAATCGTTTACTAATGAATCGGCTTTCACTAATCATGAACAAATAAATATAAGAAACATGTACTATTGGTCCATTGAAAATTCAATTAAAAGGTGGTTTTGACAAAACAACATGATATTCTCTGATTGCGTCATACGCGTGAGTAATTCACGTATATATTTATATAAAGCATTAAATACATCATATAATAAATAAATAAAATATACAAAGTATATATATACACCTGTAATATATATTGATAGATGTCAATACATCTATGATACATATCAATGGATCAATGGATATCAGAGCGTATATACAGGGCGTATATATAGGGTGTCCCATTTTATTTTTGACAGTCAAATATCTCGAAAAATATGGAAGATATGGAAAAATGTTTCAGATAAAAATTGTATGGTTTCAAGGGGGACATAAAATAGCTATATTTTTTACAGATTTGTTTTACAGTTTGTTTACAGATGGCGCCACTTTTAAAATATCCGTTGACCATTACTTTTCTTAAGTAGAAATCCGAACTTTTTATTATGTCATCCTTTTCTGTCATTTAATCTGAACAATTTTTGTCTGAAACATTTTCTTATTTGCCTAATATTTTTGGAGATATTTCAGGAAAACTTGGTAACTTTTTCAATATTTAATTTACGATATCTCGCTAACTGTTTGTTGGAAGAAAAAATAATACTAGACTTTTTTACTCAACTTGGTCTCAAAAATATATTGTTACAATAGCGCCCTGACTTTTGTTAATGTGATGATTTTGAAATTTCCAAAAGTCGATAAGTTAATAAAAGTTAGGGCACTATTGTAACAATATATTCTTGAAACCAAATAGATTAAAAAAATCTAGTACCATTTTCTCTTCCGATAAACGAAAAGTTAGCAAGATATTGTAAGTTAAATATTGAAAAAGTTTTACCAAGTTTTCCTTAAATATCTCAAGAAATATTAGGCAAATAAAAAAAATATTTCAGATAAAAGTTGTTCAAATTAATTGGTGAAAAAAGATGATGTAATAAAAAATTCAGGTTTCCATTTAAGAAAAGTAATGGTCAGTGAATATATCGAAAGTGGCGCCATCTGTAAACAAACTTTTATCGTTGTTTTATGTTCCCTTTGAAACCATACAACTTTTATCTGAAACATTTTTCTATATCTTCCATATTTTTCAAGATATTTGTCTGTCAAAAATAAAATGGACCACCCTGTATATAGTAGTACTTCAGCAGTTAAAAGATTAATGTATCGTGCGGGATTTTACAAAATGAAGTCATTGGTTCTTTCTTTATTGATAGTATATTAAATGCCTAAAAATACGCCGATTTTTTGTCTAAAAAATTACCAAAATTATTGGAAGAAATTCATTTATATTTAATTATTAAACTATATTTTTATTAAACTATATTAAACTATATTTTATTAAACTAAACTAAATTTTTATTAAACTATTGGGGACTTGAATAAGTTCTCGCTGTTTTTTTTTGTGAAAATAAATGTTTTATTTAAAAAAATTAGTAAAGAACTTGTCATTGAAAGTATTGTCCATCGCTAGCCACTACTTTCTCCCATCTTTCTGACAACATACGAATACCATGTTGAAAGAATGACTCATCTTTTGAGGTTATCCACGAATCGACCCATTTTTTGGCATCTTCATAAGAATGGAAGTGCTGTTCAGTTAGGCCATGAGTCATCGATCAGAACAAGTGGTAATCGGAAGGAGCAATGTCCGGTGAATACGGCGGATGGAGTAGGACTTCCTATTTGAGCGTTTCCAAGTAGGTTTTGACCGGTTTTGCAACATGTGGCCGAGCGTTGTCATGCTGCAAAATTACTTTGTCGTGTCTCTCCTCGTATTGCGGCCGTTTTTCCTTCAAGGCTCAAACGCATCAATTTTAGTCGATAGCGATCTCCCGTGATGGTTTCGTTGGGTTTGAGGAGCTCATAATATACTACACCCAGCTGATCCCACCAAATACAGAGCATGAGCTTGGAACCATGGATATTCGGCTTTGCCGTCGATGTTGATGCATGGCCCGGCCTACCCCACGATTTTCTACACTTCGGTTTATCGTAATGTATCCACTTTTCATCGCCAGTCACGATACGATGCAAAAAACCTTTCCTTTTCTGCCGTTGGAGCAGCTGTTCACATATGAAAAAACGCCGTTCGACGTCTCTCGGTTTCAATTCGTACGGCACCCAATTTCCTTGCTTTTGAATCATGCCTAATGCTTTTAAACGTTTGGCAACTGTTGTGTGATCAACTCCTAATGATTCTGCAAGTTCATTTTGCGTCTGACATGGATCTTCATCGAGTAATGTTTCCAGTTCTTCGTCTTCAAACTTTTTCGGTGCACCAGAGCGTTCTTTATCTTCAACATCAAAATCATTATTTTTAAAGAGTCTAAACCAATCTCTGCATGTTGTTTCCGACAGAGCATGGTCGCTGTAAGTCTCCACAAGAATTTTATGTACTTCAGCTGCAGATTTTTTTTTTGAAAAAAGTAATGCCGTAAAATTCCCGCAAATACTCTTTTTTTGGCACGAAATTCGACATGTTTAACGCTATGAAAAAATATGTTGTTTACACTTCGGCGGAATAACATATACTATCATTTCGAGCCTAATGGTGGAGCTTCACGATGAAGTTGGCTGTAATATTGCCCGATGCAAAAAAGCTAAGATAACATCATCTGTCGAGAAACAGCGAGAACTTATTCAAGTCCCCAATATATTTTAAAGCGTAACAATTCAGAATATTTTTGGTTCATTAAAAATTCACTTTTTAATCACATGTAATTTCCAGCAGCTAATAATTCCACTGCTATTCCACTGCATTCGGATGTGATACTTGACAGACTAGAAGAATCCACATTACTCCATTACACAATATATTACAGTACCCGCACTTCTTCTATATTGAATATTTAGTATTGACTAAAATACGGCGAATAGAAATCAAATACCTTGTTTTGTTTGTAATCGAGCTTTTCATCCAAATCAGTTAGCTCGATTAAATGGTGACGATAATGCGATAAAGTGTATCAGAGAGACAAGATCTATAACATATCAAATATTCAACCAATTCCACCGAAATCCAATTTACATAAGGAATTGTGCGAGGTCCTTTCAACACGGGATTCGTCACCGACAACTCGCAAAAATCTCTATAAAGGAGATTTCATATAAAATCAAATATTGATGTCAATTTTAATAAATATTCTTAGTTCAATACCTAACTATCAGTTTAATTTTAGGTATAAATTCTACAATTGACTAAGTCTACCATATTATAGCATAATCAGCTATAAAAGGCTTTCGAAAATATGTGAAACTTTATTTTTATACGTGACACAAGCATTTGACAAAGCGTAGCTGAGCTGAATTACAAGCTTGATAGAATGTTGCCAGGACGAATGAGTGAAATATTAAAATCTTATATGTTTAAAAAACTTTTTCTGAAAAGAAAGTACGAAAATGACTACAAACTAAGAAGCATACTAATGTATCACAGGGCAGTATGCTTGGATCGACAATATATTTACTATACTATTAAGATTCCTACTATATTCTAGTAATATTCCTAAAGGTAAAAAACCGCAAGTACAAGCGCAACATGTATTATATCATTTTTAGAAATTTCAAATTCAAATTATTTTTATTAAGGTATGTACTAGGTGCACAACTAAGTTTCAGGGTTTAAATTCTATTTGTAAGAATTTATGTTATGGGCATTTTTGTAATTAGGTTTTTCTTGAATAATAATAACCTTTAAAAGATATCTTTTTTAAATATTGGACACTATTAATGAACGTGTTAACTTTTTATAGCACGATATAATTTTTAACTTATAAAAATTTATGTTATGTACATATATATCTTAAAAGAAAAATAATTTGATAAGTTTTACTTGTAAATATTTATGTATGTACATAATATATATATTAAAAAAAGGAAATAATTTGAATTTGAGATTTCTAAAAATATTAAGTATACAATAATCATATATAATATGTTCGGTTTCTCAGTTGGCGCTACAATTTTAATATATGATATTATTTCTTTTGTACAGTAGAATAGTGTTGTAGAGTTTTATATAGAGTTTTATATTATATAGTTATTATATTATATTATAATAGTTATTATATTATAATAGTTATAAGTTTTATTTGTAAAACCTTGTTATATACACATACATACCTTAATAAAAATAATTTGAATTTGAAATTTCTAAAAATAATACGGTACGTGTTATGCTTGTATTTGGCGCCTTTTTTTACCTTTTTGGTTAAAAAGGTACAGGTTGCGTGAAAAGTTCGCGGAG